GTTGTGGTTTTACCCATCCAGCCAGATCCTGGGGCTGAGGATGATTTTGTCTAGGTGGATTTCCAGACAAAAAGCCAATCAAAAGTTCCAGTAACGCTAATTTGCTAATTACATATTTAAGAAAACGGAAGAGAAGGCTGGTTGCACAGTTGAAATTAGGAGCAGCAGCCATGTAGAAGAGAAGGCAGGCCCTGAGTGAGCCAAGGCCCCCTCCTTCCCCGGCCTGGGCCGGGGGCAGGTGTAGCACTGAAGCCCCTCTTCTCTCTTGTAAGAGAGTGGAGAAAAAAAACTTTAGAGGACTGACTGCTTGGACAGAAGAATTGCAGAAGAATTCCGGCAAAGAGATAATGAAGTGTTCAAGGCCAGAGCTGCAGCAGGAGAGAGAAGTACGAAGGGGGACCTGCTTCTCCCCCCTTTCGCTCTCTCCCTTCAGCAGGGAAAAGAGTGAAAAATAAATCCCTGCTACCTTTGGAAGATTGTTGGGATAAGGAGACCCCCATGCTGCTCGTGGAGGAGCCTATATTTGAGTAAGCTGATGCATGAGGAAGCCGAGTCTTCATGAGAAGGACTGAAATGAGGCAGAGTCCTACTGAAGATTTATGACCCTGAAAGGAACGAGGCTTACGCCGGAGCGAAAACGGCTCAGGTGAGCTTGGGATCTCAGTGAGAGATCCATGCTGCTGGTGCTGGAGATTTGTGACCCTGAGAAAACCTACGCTGGAGCAAGAATGGCTCAGGTAGGGATGTTGGGATCTGTGAGTGGGATCCATGCTGCTGCTGAAGATTTATGACCCTGAGAGAAAGGCTTATGCCGGAGTGAGAATGGCTCGGGTAAGCCTGAGATCTAAGTGAGGGATCCATGCTAGACCCATGCTGGAGAGGTCTATCAAGGATTGTTCTCCCGTGGGGAGGGACCTCCACAGGAAAACAGGGGTGGACTCAAAAGCTATTATCTCCTGTAATCCTGTGGTGAAGATCCATGGTAGGCAAGTGTCCCCTTGCAAGCCTATGGAAGAGAAGACCCTTCAGGGCCGGGGTAACCCCCAGCCTCCGGTCTTAGCCAAGGAGGGGGGTAGGCCCAGCCCTGGAGGCCAACACAGAGCAAGAGAGAAAGAGAGGTGAAAGAGTTCCAACTGTGACGAGAGTGCTGCAGAGTTCTTGAAAGACCTGGAGCTCTGAGAATGGAGAAAAAGACTGCTTCTCCTCATTGGACTGATATAAAGGGGAGAGAAGTATTTCTGTAAATACATAGTACTTAAGTAGAATTATTGTAAATATAGTTCTTTAGTTTTAGCTTATTAGTAATAAATGTTAATATTATTTTCCCAAATCCAGTCTCTTTTGTCTGCATAAACCTTCTCTCAATTAATAGTAATTGTGTGGGGGGTGTGAAAGCAAATTGACCCAGAGCAAAACCACGACAGGTAGCTATTCAGCAGGTGTTTACAGTGGGATTTTTAAATGTCATGATAACATTCCATGGGCAAGAGAAACAGTTCAGTTTTGTGCTTTGATTTCTTGTTGAGCTTTACACTCATACAACACAGCAGTCTACTAACCACTCCATCTTTAAATTTCTTATATGCACAGTGTGCTCAGCTCCTTTATTAGCCTACTCCCAACAAAGAGGCATCTGTTCTTCCTGTTTAAAATCAGCAAAACACAAGAAATTGTGTCATGAACACACACATACAAGTGTACCTAGCTTACACACTAATGCCATCTGCTCACACTGTCACAGTTCTCTCAGCATCAGTAAATTTGGTTCAAGGATGAAGAGGATTACTTCAGAGGTTTTTATCCTCTGCTACCTTTAAATTATTCTTGAAATATCTGGGACATCTGGAAAATGACCAATTTTAAGTTTTGTTATTTGTTACTCTACTGTTATTACACAGACTGTGTTCCCTGATCTGATTTCTCCCTGGTGGCTATTCTATGCTCTGCTAAGATGCCACCCTCAAAGCACAGGAATCTTTCCTTGGTTACCAGCAAACTTAGAGAGACTGCTGTTCTTATCTCCTGCTGATGCTGGAGGTGGAAAACCCACCAAAACTTCTTTTTTGTTTAAGTGTGTGGGTTAACATGCATTTACCACTCCAGTGCTGTGAGATCCACCTCCATATGCTCTGTGTCGTGCTTTAACCCCAGCTAGTCCAGCCACTCACTCACTTTCCCACCAGTGGGATGTGGGAGACAGTTGGAAGGGTAAAAGCTGGAAAACTCGTGGGATGGGATAAAGACAGTTTAATGAGAAAAGCAAAAGCCATGCAAACAAGCAAAGTAAAACAAGGAATTGATTCACTGCTTTCCATGGGGCAGGCAGGTGCTCAGCCATCTCCAGGAGAGCAGGGCCCCATCACATATAGTGGTTACTTGGGAAGACAAGCCCCATCACTCCAAACTTGCCCCCCTTCCTCCTTCTTCCCTCCACTTTATACACTGAGAATGATGTCATATGGTCTGGAATATCCCTTTGGTCAGTTGGGGTCACCTGTTCTGTCTGTGTCTTCTCCCAGCCTCCCATGAACCCCCAACTTCCTTGCCAGTGTGGCAGTACAGAAAACCAGAAAAGGCCCTCTGTACAAGTCCTGCTTAGCAGTAACAAAAACATCTCTAAATTATCAACCCTGTGTTCAGCACAACCCTAAAACACAGCCCCATACCAGCCACTGGGAAGAAAATTCTATACTCCAGACAAAATGAGCACACTCTGCTTTGGAGAGTAACGCTTTGGGTGTAGTGAAGACCTCCTGACAGAGGACGGAGTACTGTGTATTTGAGGACCTGACTAAAAATTCAAAATTCAGGTGGCTATTGCTGATCTGCTGGGAGATAGCAGCAGCACTAACATATCACTACTGATACGTTAGAGAATTTGGGTATATCTACATGAGTTGTAGGCACAGCAGGAGCTGCCATGCAGATGTTGCCATCAAGCACAACATGTTGCTGGCCCAAATTGTGACTCTTTTTATGTCACTATAGATTTGCTGTGGTCACTGTCATTTTTATTTCTCTCCCTCTCCTTCTATGATCACATATGAGATAGTCTGAGTAGTTTTCACTGTCTAGCAATGAAACGGATGCCACTTGGTGGGAATAAACCAGTACTGCAAGAAATTAAAAAGGCCTGGGCTCCATCGTTTAAAATCCTTCTAGTAATTCTGTTGCTGCATTGATACGTAGCCCTGTGTAGCGGGAAACAAAATGATGATGAACTGATTTCTGCCACAGAATGCAACTTACTAATGGATTATGTCTTATCATCTATCAAGGGGGGCAAATCGTCACTCTGCTCTAGAAAACAAACTGGTTTCTATGTCTGTACATAAGCACAACAGAAAATAAGAACTGTTAACGATAAGACTAGTAAGAGATCACTATGGCTAAATTAAGATCTCTTTAGATAGATGACATGCAAATGGAAATGTTCAGAAAACAGAAATGAGCTACAAGCACAGGGCTCAAGTGTTAGTGAGAAAAAATGAGTCACTGGATACACAGAAGGGAAGAGGTGTTTAGAGTAAGAACTTATTCTGGGAATATGGTACTGATAAGAGGAAACTCAGTGAAAAGAATGGCTTGCTATTTATGGTGAGCTGAAATTATTCTGGGAAAAGTTCAAGTGTTTGCTATCTCACCCTACCCTTTTCCCCAGAATGATCCTACAATTCCAGTTATTTCCTGAAATTAGTTCTTGGTAGGCAAAGTTTAAGAGCACCTGTGAAAGCTTTATGTTTTCAGACTGCTCTGCTTAACTTCATCGCCATTCACAGTACGGAAAACTTAGAGCCATTAATAGTTCTTTTCACCAGCATGTGGAAGTTGAATGGAAAAGACAAAAATGGTGTATTTTTTCAGTAGGGAAACCCAGCCAAAACTTCAGAAACAAGTCAACTTAACTTCCATCTCCAGAGGAAAAAAAAAGTTAATATGCTGAAAAGATGAGAACAACAAACCTTGATATGGCTACATCACAAATCATATCAAGTTAGTGTAATTTGGCTGTGGAGTGACCTAACTGTAGTCTTCCAATGCCTGAAGGGAGCCTACAGAAAAGATGGAGAGGGACTATTTACAAGGGCATGGAGTGACAGGACAAGGGGGTTAGATTAGATATGAGATAAAAATTCTTCCCTGTGAGGGTAGTAAGGCCCTGGCTCAGGTTGCCCAGAGAAGCTGTGGCTGCCCCATCCCTGGAAGTGTTCAAGGTCAAGGCTGGATGGGGCTCTGAGCAACCTGGGATAGTGGAAGGTGTCCCTTCACATGGCAGGGAGTGGAACAAGATGGTCTTTCAGGTCACTTCCAACCCAAACCATTCTATCAACTTTCTTCAGCTCCCTCAAGGTAGCTAGTCTGGTGAGCAAAGAAAAGGCAAATGTCATGTATCTGGGAGTTGGCAGATCTTTGACGTATCACTTGGGAAGCTCAGGAGCAAACTAGTTTTGCTTTTGAAAATACTGTAGGATTGATGCAAAACTGGCTACAGATCTGCTCTGAGAAGGCAAAGTTAGCACGGGCCTTCAAAATCAGAATGGATGTAAAGATGTATTAGAGGGTTTCTGCTGAGCCCTGACCAGGACCTGGTGTACATTCACGCCCTCAGCGACTGATTAATAACCCTCAGTGACAGCCTGCATACATGCTGGTAATCCTGAATAATATTGATGGACTTCAGTACTGAAATACTGAAAAAAGAGGGGGGGAAAAGAGAAAGATGAAAGATATCAGAGCAAGGTCTGCCAGGGGAAAAGCACCTGTGTAGGAAAGGCTCTGGGGGATCCCGAACTGTACATGGAGCAGGACTATCGGTATTTAGACACACCCCCCCCCAAAAAAAAAAAAAAAAGAAAGAAAAAGGCAAACAAAGGACACAGTGAAGACATTTAGCGTTCAGAGACCCAGAATTGAGACAGAATGTTCAGAGGGGCCGTGCCGGAGAAGGGAACCCACGTCTGGCGCTGTGCCCTCCCCGCCCCGCCCCGGCGCTGACGGCGGCCGGGAGCGGCCAAGCTTCTTCCTCCGGGCTCCGCCGCCTTCTACTCGTCCTCCTTCCCGGTGCTCCGTGCCCGGCCATGGAGCTGGGGCAGGTGCCGCTGCTCTTCTCCCGCCTGCCCATGTTCCCTTTCTTCGACCTGGCGCACTATGTCGCCTCCGTGGTGGCGCTGAAGGAACAGCGGGGTGAGCGGGGCGAAGGGGGGGACGGGACGGGCACCCCCCACCCCCTCGTCCCAACCCCGGTGTTCCCCCGTCGTGTCTCTGTGTCTCCCTGTCTTTCCCCGTGTTTGTGTGTGTCCCCTGTGTCACCTGGGATCCCCAGCTCCGGCAGGGTGCGGATGGGCGCCGCTCAAGTGCCGGGGGGTCCCCGAGGGGAGCTGGATAGTCCATGACCATGCAAATGGGATTGTGTTCCCTCTGCGTTAGTCCATCTTTCAGTAGATGATGTCTAATTGTCTGCAGAAGGCACCCAGCCAAGCTTTTCTTGCTTCCCAGAACTCCTGACGAAATCAGCCAGGAGTTTGTTGAAAACCCTTTTCTTGAAGTTTTAAGGTTTTGAAAACCTCGGGAATTAAAGGAAAAAAAGGACTGAAACTCGTTGAAATTAAGGTGCAGAGAAGGGTTGTGGAACACAGGCCAGTGTGGAGATGAGGGAAGGGATGCTCAACTGGTATCCTTATATCCTTCATGCACCCGGTGTGTGCAGGAAGTTGTGAAGGCACTTCTGCCTTCTAGGAAACATAGTTCTGGAATCTAATGTCATTGTGTCCGTGACTTTTCATGTTGTACCCCATAGACTGTAAACTGAATTTGGGGAAGCTTCTCAGTCTCAGTAACAGGACTTACTGTGAGTGCTCTCTTCTAGAAAATTTTCTGCACTATAGCTGTTAACCCCAAGCCCGTTTTTTTGTTGTCACAAATATAAATTGTTTTACTGTTTAGAATTAAAGTCCTTGTGGTGTGGCTTTGGACAGCTACAGTAATGTTGTATCCCTGATGATAACTAGGAAACTAAACTGGCTTTCATTATTACAGTGCAAATTTGGGAGTTTCTGCTTGCCTCAGATTTCTGAGGCTCTGCACTGTTCCTTTAATAAGAGCTCGTTCTTTAGTCCCTTACCAAATGTGCTGAGGTGAATTTTGACTTCCTGCTGAGGAATTGCACTTAGCAGACTATGAAGACTGATACAAAATGCGTAGGTACTCTAGAATCTTCACCATATTTTGTTACTACTGCTAAAATTTTTTCTGGGTGCTGCCTTATGGCATTATTTATTGTATCTATTTCATTAAAAAAGGGACTTTCTGACATTATCATGCACTACTTTTAAACTTTCCTCTTGAATGGACACACGTAAAGACCAGGATGAGGAGCTCTTCACTTTGCTTTAGCGTATTTTTAGTGAGACAGCACTTATGAGCTGCTGTTAGAAGTCTGGTCAGATCCATGCCGGTATTTTTTTTTTTATTCTCTAATTTTGATTTAGTAGCTGGGTAGTTCAGAACTTTTGAGTATTTTGTAATACTTTGAATTAATAACTGTAATCCAGGTGTCTGCATGCTGGTCTGTTTCTCGCAAGTGGTTTGAACTGAGTATTAAATCATAAATAGCAGTCATTATGAAATACTCAGGATGAATGTATTATCGTGGATTAATGCTCTGTAAGCATATGTTCTTTTTGGAAACTTACAACAGTAGCTATATTTGATGGGGAAATAACAGCGCAACTCTTAAGTGCTTGGAGATGTAAGAAGTATGTGGTCAAGTTACAGCCACATTTATTTTATCCCAGATTACTGTCTCATTAAAATACCAACCCACCCCCACTGCTTAAAATCAGGCTCAGTGTGGGCATTTGTACCATGGATGGCTACACAATAACTGGGACTTTTCCAGCCCTCCTAACTAGATTTTCTTTCTCACTTTTGAGTGCTGGCAAACTAGAGCAGTGACAACCAACGTGTTGCTTTCCATATGTTTTAAAATAAGTGTTCTTGTTTGGTGTGTTTGGGATGGCTTAGGAGTTTCTAGATGGGGACTCCAGTCAGCTGTAGAACTGGCAGTTTTCTCTGTGTAGGATGGAGGGGCAGCAAGAGGTGTTAATGGTTGAAAATATCTCATATTTGGAAGGGATGTGCTGGTTTTGTTCTTGCCATTTTTCTATGACATGTTTCAAGTGACCTGAACAAATTTTTTTGGCTAGTAGTTTTTGCTAAATCAAGTCTGACTCTGTAAAGCCTTTATCTTAATTAATGTTATTATGTATAGTTGAATGGGGTACTAAAAAAAACTTGTAAAAATCCTCGTGGTCTGCTCTCTAGATGTGTATGTGGTATTTTTTCTTGATTGCCTATTGGGAACATGTTGGAAAGGTTAAAGCAGATCTTATCCTACTGACAGAAATAGTTAGCTGGCAGTGGTTCCTTTTTTTTGTTACTGTTGTCTAGAAACAACATTTAAAACTGTATTCAAAAATAGTCCTCATGTTTCGAAGCCTTATCTTTATTTTCTAAAGTGTACCTTTGCAGAACTCTGCAAAGAAGTGGCCTTCTGGCAGATGAACCCTTGCGTGGTTGTATGATGCCTCATTAATTCTACAGGATGCATCCGAGGACAAATATAAATGACCGCTTGTTTAAAAAAATGTGACCTACTTAAAACTGAGTTTGTCTTCTGAAATGTTACACCCCAGTCATAATGTAGGTGGCAATGCTAAGACAATCTTTAAATTAGTGTCAACATTTTTTGCCTCATTTTTTTTTATTTTGGGTATGTTCCTTGTTAGAAAATGGATGTGAATTGGTACATAGTGGCACTTGAGCCAAGAAAATTCTAGTGTTGACCTGCAGAAAAATCTTGAAGTCCAGTAGCATTTCTAGTCTCTTTTAAAATGAAGAAATTTACCTGGTCTATTGTGGACCTTACTCACAGAGGGCAATCTGCTAATAATAGTAGTAATTCCTGTATGTGTCCTCAAAAGTGAAAACCACTTGCTGCTAGTCTTGGGGAAAAGGAAGAGTGCAGAAGCGGTCATTGCTGAAAGGCACTGGAATGGATTTGGAAAGAGAACAGATACCTAATTAATTTTAAAACAACTCTACCTTTTTTTTTTTTTTTTTTTTTTTTTTTTTTTTTTTTTTTTTTTTTGGTATTTTCTTTTTGCAAGAAAAGGAATTTGGTCTTTTCATGCTACAATTACTTGGCTGTGTCGTCAGACAAGAGCAGTTACATGTGAAGCTACTGTAGTTGTTTTGGACCAATGTATGTCCACTTAACATAATTTTGTGTCTGTTTGTTTTTCTGAATGCACTAGTTGTCCATATTTTTAGGTTTGGTTTTCTTTGTGTGTGTGTTTGGTTTTTTTTGGTTTTTTGTTTTTTTTTTAATTGAGGAAATGTCAATGTAGTAAGGACAAGCCATTAATATTTTGCAAGTGTCTTACCCTTTTCAAATATGTTGGTGAAAACAGATTTACATTCAGTTACATGGGATCTGGGTGTAATGGCTCACTTTATATTTTCACTTTTCCTCTTAAGTAACATTATCAGACTTTGGAATTTTCTCCTCTGTTGATTTTTGGCACATGAACACGATTGATAGCTACTTTGGAGAAATGGTCAAATGAAATAACAAATCTGAGCACAACCAATTTGGAGCACCAGGTAGTAAGTAGTAAGTAAGTAAGTAATGGCCAGTCTTCGCGAACGAAGAACCGGGGAAGGTCTTTACACCTTCCAGCCTGCGCACTGGATTTTTTTTTTTAGGTGAGACACCGTGTGCGCGGAACTGAGCCCACCCTTTAATCCTGAGGTTCATCTGCCGGGGCCAAGCGAGCTTGGACGGTGGCAGCGAGGTCCTCAGGACGTAGGTGGATAGCCTTACGGGTTAACGAGCTCCATCTGCCCGGGGAGGGGCCCCGACCGGGAATCGAACCCAGGCCTCGGCGGTGACAGCACAGCGCCTTTACCCTCTAGACCACCAGTATGAAAAATAACATACAAAATAGTGAAACATTATTTTATATTCAGATATTCTGAAATATGTAGCAGTGCTAATTTTTATAATTTGGCTGTTACGTAGGAATTTAGATAGTGCCACAATATGTGATATCTGTGCCAGCATTAAAATTATAAAAATCTTAATAATATCTTAAGTGAACTGTATTGAGAGTGCTGTATGCTCTTTTATATGTTTGAGCTTCTCCTTTTGGGCAAGAAGCTTCTTTTCCCACAGAAATGCCTGAAAAACCCAGGACTTCCCCTCTGAATTGGGAACAGATGTCAGATTTCATTTTTGGGCAGACACTGGTGCTTTTGTGAACTTCAGCCTTTGGACTATGGAAAGTTAAACTTGTTCAGGCAAACAGAGCTCAGCACTAGCGTAAAGGGTTTAACATTGGACTTTTGAAGTGGGAAAAAACCCAACTACTTGAGGATATTGTTATCTTTGATAAATTGTTGTTTCCCCCTGAAGCTGCTTAATGATTACCGTTTAATATTGAATACTGTTTTGGCATATTTCTATTGCAATTTAAAAGTGACAATTTATTTCAAAATAACAGAATAAACCAAACTGTCAACCTTTTAATAACAAAGAAAACTTACATTTATTATTGTGGCTCCAGGTAACCTGTTTTCAACTCTTCAGGAGTGCAGGTGAAACTATTTAATAATTGTTTTGGATACTATTTTCATTTTCATCAGCAAACACAGAAAGACATTACGAGGAAAAAGGAAAACAGTGACCCTGAATTCTTGGAACACTCAAAAGCAGAAATGGAATTTGCAGAATAACCCTCAAAATGTTACCTATCCTGTGCAGTTCAGCAAAACAAATTCTGTGTTTTTAATACAAATTTGAAAGCAAGTGTATATCTGTGTCAGGCTATTAACAGTGAGACCTCTCAACCATGCTCTGAAAGCTTTTTCTTCTTGGTAGCCGAACAGTTATAACAAACCAATGCACAAAAGATGTTCAGAGAGCACATTCTGTTTAGATAGCGAATGTTAAAGCCAGCGTGCTCTGAACTATGTATTTCTGAAGAGTTTTCCTGTGAAACCCTACAAATTGCTGGAGGATTTTTTCATTACCTAAAGGAGCAATGTTGGACTGAATGGTTTGAAAAATACCAGCTATTAAAACGTGATGTGAGTCTCAAATGTTCATTTCTGTTTATGCATCTTTTCACAGGAGCTGTGGAGGTGTCAGTCCAGAGTCCATTTGCCTGCTGGTTTAGTGCTATGCTTTATTGCTTTGGTGGTTCGATTTTGTCCTCGTTGATGCTTGCAGAACCTCCAGTAGCATTTCTGGCCAAGGGCACAAATATTCTACTGGCATCTTCAGTCTGGTAAGCAGCCACAGTTGAGTTGGATGAGTAACACTGGTTCTGAGGAAGACACAAACTGTAAGCTGATACTACACCACCGAGGTTCCATGAAAATCAGTGCCTTAACTTTTAAGTGTTACAGATTTGGATCCTGTCCCTTCATCCAGAGTGACTGCAGCAAAATAGCTGTTAGGATCCTTCTTCTGTGGAAACAGAACGCTTGTAAGGGAGCAACTCACATGGGTTGTTGTATAACAAAGTGCTCTGTTGCGAGACTAGACTTGCCTTAGATTTTTATAGCTTTCCTGGTCAAACAGCTGAAAAAATTATTTTTTAATAAAGTGATCTTCATTTGCTGCTTTTCTGGACACAGACGCAATCTAGTTTTATAAAAGTAGCTCTTGAAGGCTGTATGCAAAAATTCTGGACTTTCCTGTAACTGTGGATCCAAGACAGATCTTTCTTCTTCTCCAGTTTCTGCCACCAGATATGACTTTTTTTTTTTCTGTATTTCGTCCCTTCCCAAATGGATGGGTGTTGTAGTGGAAGACAATAGTGAGCTGAATGGGAAGTCAGGTATGTGGCAATTTGGCCTGTGTTGAAATTCAAAAAAATGCTGGAGTTATTTTAATACAAATGTGAGCTTCCAGTGAAGTTAATTTATTCCAGAAAGTGAGCTTTGAAGAAAATCTCAAACTTAACAAATATTATGATCAGCACTGAAGTTTTGAATTTTAAAAGCTCTATTCCTACCTTAGAAAGAGTCTGACCTGCTTAAAATCCTTTAGTTCCTAGTAGCCCCTTAGGTTTTATAATTGCAAATGACTTAAAATGAAAGTGTTTCTGTCTGTCTCTGTATGTTATATTAGTCTTCTAGCCTTCATGTTGCAGTGGAAGATGACAGATTTTATTTAGGCAGAGGAGCGAAATGAAAAATGTGCAATAATTAGTGCATTATTAACAAAGCTTATAGAAACTGCCTATGGTTGCTTAACAAGTGATGTGACTTACAAGTACACTTGAAGAGAACATGATTTCTGTTGAACTTTACATGGTCAAATGTGATGTGCTGTGCACAAACAAAACGGGGTTTTAACGAGGAGCTGTGAACGTTATGAAACCTTCTAAGCTCCTACTTTTACAAAGTTCTCTCTTCCTGAGTACAGTGACCTTAATTCTCGGTCCTGGATCATGCGAAATTAAATTTCCCAAGTCAGACATAAAACTGGAAAATAAGGGGGGTTGTGCTACTCTTGAGAAGTGCTCCTGAATAGTCTGTAGGACAGCGGCATCTGCTGTTGGCAGAGGTTACAGGCAGAAGTGCTGTGGTGGGCCTGCGGGGCCAAGTTCTGCCCTGTTATCAGTAGCTTCAGGGTCCTAAACCCACCTCCTGCAGCTGTAAATTAATTCTGGTGAGGGTTGTCTGTTGAGTAAGTGGCTTAAATGGCTGTTTGCTGTGGTCTCTAAAATACATGCTTTGTATATGTCTTTGGCTTCCCATCAGCTGAAGCTTGGTTGCATACAAAGGCATCTGACTTCACTTCTCCCTGGGAGATAATGGGAAAGGAAAGGCCTTAGGAAGTCTTTGTAGAGAGGATTGAGCTCAAAAGGCTCAAAGAAAGGGCCTGTATCTCTTTTTTTTTTTTTTTTTTAGAAAATGAAAAGGTATCCTTCCCATTTTTAAATTCTTTCTCTGCTTTTACTTAATTATTACTCTCTTATTCCTGTGCTGAAATAATCTACTTACGATAACTGAATCGAGTTACTTAGTCTTGATTGTTTGTTTTTTATTTAATTCAGTTCTCTGTAAGAACTAAATTTTGTTTATTAAGAGATATAATAAAACACCACATAATCTAATCTTTTAAAATATACTGTCATACTAGGATTTCATTGTTAGCCATCTTTAATTTGTTCTAAAAGCAAAGATGATTGTTAAGTTTTGAGTTGATCAAAGATACTGTTAAATTTTGAGTAGTGTGCTTTCAGTGCTTTGAATAAAGAAATGTGCTTGTAGCTGGCAAGCTGGAAAAGCTAGGATTGGTGAGTACTGAGATGTTAAATGTATTTGAAAAGAGCTGTGCATTTCACCGGGCATGACACTAAATAGTAGAGGCATTCTTGCTGAAGTTACATAATTCCATGTACCTGCAGTATGAAAGCACAGGGTCAACATTTAATTTAGCACCCTTTTGTAATCCTATTAGAAAAGCCCCAACAAACAAAACAAAACAAAACAAAAAAAAAATCCAACAAAACCAAACCAAACCAAACCAAACTCCCAACCAAACAAAAAATAACTCACAAAATAAACCACAGACAGTTAGTCAGACACAAAGTTAATAATTTGAATCATAAAAACATGATACGCAAGCTACAGAATAGCTGGTAAAACTTAAAGCTGTTTCTCATGTTCTTCAATAGATTCTTCTCTGGGACAAAGAGGCAGTAAGATAATGTTTGATTTTTAGTGCAAGAGCTCAAGCGTGCTCAGAAGCTTTTCAGATTTGTCCCAACATGTATATCACAAGACAGTGAGTTATGCATTACTAATCATATTCAAAAAAATAGCTTTAAAGATCAGTAAAATTGCTAATGGGTTTTCTCATGATTTCTAGGTATCTGGTGTTTTACTGCCCACAAGACATTTTCTGCCGGTGCTTTTCCTTTCTGCCTCTTCGTCTCCTGGTTGCAGGAATGAAGGAAGTGACTAGGACTTGGAAGATAACAGCTGGAGTTGCACATGCAGACAGTCACTTCAAAGATGCCTGGCTTGTCATGGTGGCTGTGGGCTGGGCCAGAGGTAACAAGCACCACGTCTTGTTCTGATGGGTTGTGATATTTTAGAGTTGTGTTTAAATGTCTGGCCTGCCAGCATTAACTGTAGCACCATCCTTGCTGTGCTGGATGTGATAGTCCTGATGCAGTCTGTTATTCCCTCAAGGAAAAAGCCTGTGCAGCAGTTTTTCTGTCTGGATTAAGGGTTACATTGAGTGACTTCCAGGGAACTTTGTCTTATCCCTTCAGATCTTATGAGACCTTGTGGGATGGGCAATTGATGACAATAAAGAAGATCTTCTGTGTAGCTGTTGCTAAACTTTCCAACAGCATTATTTCCTCAGAGCTGTGTCTTTACACGAGGCTGGAGAACTGGTTATTTTAGGTTTTTGGGTTGTAATTATTACCCAGTTTTAAACACAGGAATGAACCTTCTTGCCTGCATGCTGTTTGGAGCAGAACTCTGGCAGACAGCTTCCTAGCAGCTCTATTTGTAGTCACAGGGAGCCCCTGGTGGTCTAGTGGTTAAGGACGCGGCGCTGTCACCGCCGAGGCCTGGGTTCGATTCCCGGTCAGGGACACTCCCCGGGCAGATGGAGCTCGTTAGCCCTGGAAGGCAATCCATCTACGTCCTGAGGACCTCGCTGCCACCATCCAAGCTTGCTTGGCCCCGGCAGATGAACCTTAAGATTAAAGGGTGGGCTCAGTTCCACGCACACTGTGTCTCACCTGAAAAAAAAAAACCTCTGCGCAGGCTGAAGGTGTAAAGACCTTCCCTGGTTCTTCGTTCGCGAAGACTGTCCTTATGTATATTTGTAGTCACGCCATTAGAAGAATCCCTCCTGGAGATGACTGTGCAGCTCTTGTTTCTGCTGGATTCTGTTCTGCTGTGGGAAGCAACAATATGGTGATCTAACGTGTTCTGTTCCCAGGTTACAACACAGATCAGTGTCGCTGGCCACAGTGTCTAACACCTCCTTATATCTTATATTCTTTTAATGTAAAAATACATACCCCCTTTTCTCACAGAGGATCCTCATAGTTTATAGAGACATTCTCTGTACTTAGGATGACACAATGAATGCAATGCATATAAACCTCCAGAGGTTTACCTTGTCAGTCCAGGCATTTGTGGTGATGAGTTCAGGTGTTATCACTTAAAGCTAAACCTGAGGTTCTTGCTAAGTAGGTAAACCTCTGGAGTTTCATGTGGGCTGTTCAAGTCATGCTCATAAAAAAACTGGATTAGTCTTTTTAAGTCTGGGCTTTGGGTGCCACATTTAGCACCTGGTGTCATGACTTCTGTTGTGAGCAGTAACAGATTGCACAGTAGTGGCAGAAGTCAGTGGAGGTTTATCGTAAATCTCTGCCATTTCAGGAGCTGGTGGTGGCCTAATTTCCAACTTTGAGCAGCTGGTGAGAGGAGTGTGGAAACCTGAAACCAATGAACTACTGAAGATGTCCTAGTAAGGTTTTCTTTTAACATGTTAATGGTTGTTTTGCTCCCTTCTTCAGCTGGCACTCACTTTTAGTGTTTGAGGTCTAAAAAAAAGCAGTAGAACCTGCTTGTATTTAGTGTTTTGGTGTGTATCCTGTGAAAGAGGGGTCGATGATGTTTGGTACTTTTCGCAGATGTTTTAATCATTTTATGTTCACATCAGGAGAACAGTAAATGGGAGAGACAAGTCAACAAAAATTATGTGTCAGAAAGCAAGTATTGAGCCAGTGCGGAGTTACTAGAAAGTAGTATTGACTCAGTTTGTCTTACGTGAATGTGGTCCTCTATCCAAAATGAAAGGACAGTGGTACCAGAAGTGTATAACTGAAGTCTGCACTTCTGGTGTATGTTCTGAGCATCACTAAAATGGCTTCCACTGTCACTCTTACGTTCTCTTCCAGTGCTACTTTCCTCCATAAATATCAATTATTTGAGGAGGTGCAAATTGGTTATTCAGTATAGCAAACATGTCCTGCAGGATAGGAAATATTACTTCTCTTGCAGAAGGAAAGAATGGGAATATTACATGGGTCTCGTAAAATGAGAATTGAAACAGGCTAGAACGACACAAGCTATTATTGTAAGTCAAGGTCACTGCAATAATTTCCTAAAATTCTTCTGATCTTTCCCATGTTACTCTCAGGTTTTTAAAAACAATTTTTTTTAAAGTTATCTTGCTTTTCTGCAGCCACTCTGAGACGCAGAATAACAGAATTGGCATTTGTAGCCTTCTCTTTGGCAATATTTCAACTTTTTGTGGATTGTGTGTGTTGTTGGCATTTTCTGCAATTCGAAGTATTTAGAATTTATCTCCCTCTGTCAGTGCCTAAGTGGCAGTCTTGAAAGCAAACTTCTGGAAAGAAGAGGTCAGTGTCAAAAATAGCACTGTAAACACAAATAACACTTGTCCTTACAGGTGCAACACTCAAGAAATGCTTACTGACTGTCACCACTTGCATATATTCTCCTTTTCTGTGGTGGATATGGCTCAAAGTAACACAAAAAAGATTTTTTAAACTTTGTTTATATATAAATCTTAAGAACATTAAATTCAACTAAGTTACAAAGTTAAATGGATCAAACATCCTGCAACTGGATGAGTTGCATGCATACACAGAGTTGTGTGTACACACAAAACTGATTTGTGGAATTCCTCAGCAGGAAGTTGGTGCAGCAAATCTCTGAGTTACTGAAAAGACAGTGAAGGATTTGTCTACACTGCATGCTCTGTAATAACAGGAATGTCACCTGCACATGTCACATGTCGGAGCAAGAATTAGGAAATGCACATAATTCTTCTGCCAGTGTGCTGGAGCTCTCTCTTCAGAAGACTGGAACTGACCAAAGCTTTCTTGTTTTCTGGCTGCATGCCTAGCAAGGGATTTACCATCACAACCAAGATCTGTTCTAGATGGGAATCTTTGCATGTCTTAAGCCATCACAGCTTTGTTGGCAAAACCTGGTAGCATAGGCCTGGCTCAAACTGGGTCTAAGCTGACTACAACCACAGAGCTGCTGGAGTGTTACAGTGGACCAAGACCTTGACTATATTGCACTTCAACACCTTAAGCAACCTTGGAGTAACTAACTTCTGGAGTATAGTAGAAGAAGGTGTTTTTAAGTCTAGTCTGAGTAGTGCAAGCTTTGTGATTTAACTCTTCCGTAAGATGTACTGGGAAAGGAAGAAGGGAAGCAAGCTGATGGATGGAGTTTGAATAGAAGCATTGATTTGAAAAGGATTTGCCAAATAGTAATTTGCTGGGTGTGTAAAGTAGTGCTGAACTCTATGCTTGTCAATGTTACAGAGAGAAAGTGTAGTAATAATATATATATAATATATAATATAAATAATACATAAAGTGTTAAGCGTCTTAATGTAATTATATCTAGGTTTTAGACCTTATTACTGTTACCACAAATTTTCATTAGTTCTATTCAGAAAAAAGTCTTTTGCACAGCCAAGACTATTTACTGCTTTCTAGGCCATGGTAGCTTTTGCTTTAAAAAGAGAAGTTAACATTATTTGTTTGATTTCCAGCCCTGTGAAGATAACTTTGATAGGAGCAGTTCTTTTCACCCTGCAACACAGCCAGTACTTGCCAATTGCAAGACACAACCTTGTGTTTTTATACACCATCTTTCTTGTTGTCTTCAAGGTAAGAATTTGGAAGTGTTGCAAGTAACTGAATAACAGGAAATATTTTATTTAGTTATTAGAGTGCGTGCTTCTGGGTGGTAAAGTCAGCTCTTAGTAAAGTCAGAAAACTGTGTTTAGTCTTCTCTACACAAGCAGAACAGAAGTTCTGTTACTGATAATATTCAGTGTATGGGGACTAAAAACGGAAGAAAAGAGCCAGGAACTTTGGCACCCAACATTTGATATTCCAGGCTTATATGTCTTGAACCTCAAACGAAGCTTATGCTTGTAGAAAGAAATAAAGACAAAGTTTTGTCTTTTGTATGTTTGCAATACAAGCCAAACAGACTCTCATGTAGCTTAAAGTATTTGCAAAACAAGTATTTAGGTGAGAAGAGAAAGTGTATCAAAACCACTCTGAGGTAACTGTATCTGCTTTTGTAATAAAATAGGCACTGTTTAATTCTTCAGTCCCTCCAGTCTTGTTCATTTCCAGGATGATGCCTGTCTTCAGGATTATGAGCTAATAAGGAAGCATAGTCTTTGTTAGCAGAAATCTGGCAATTTTAAGACCTTCAGAGCTGCTGTTGGACAGACCAGAGACTGTCTGTGAGTGGTGGTTGCCAGTCCTTTCTGTGAAGTAGCTGACAACTTTAGTTCTACAGACATTGCTTTAGGGAGCTGAGAGTTTGAGATAATGTTCACCTAAACCAATAAAGGTGTTGTTGAAGTGGGGATGCTGGGAATGGAGAAGGAAAGGAATGTTATTCTGGAACTGAGAGATTACAGCTGTCTTCAGGAGCTGGCTGTCAGAGTACACTGAAGTGACACTGATGGTCATGCTGACAATCATGAACTTGAGCACCCACTTAACTAATAAAGCAACAGTTGTGGAATCTGGCATAGTCCTGTAATAACGTCTTTTAGAAACTTGTCATGTCTCTGAAAACTCTAGAAACTGTTGCAATATAAACTTGTCCAGTACCTGGATCTATAAAACACTTTTTTCTGCCCTGATTCCAAGTTATGTGTCCTAAGGAATGTCTGCCTAAACCTGTAAACTTTATGGAATGGATATGGCTGTCTGGAATTCTGATTAAAGTCTGGTTGTGCATATGTGTCTAGGTGCTTTACACATTTATTGTAACTTGATCCCTGTTCTTCCTAGGTAAAAATGATGTTGACAAGATGTGCAACTTCTCCACTTGCTTCCCTTGAGGCTGCATTAGGCCATGTGCTTTTTGGCTTGCGAAAGGCACCTTCCAAAGTGAAGGGTGAAGGTGCCACATCTTCCAACGGCTCTTCAGTCTGTGACGGGCCCTCTGAGCAGCACCATGATGGTGCTAAGAAAAGACAAGCAAAGAAAACAGAATAAGTGACTTGAAATCCTTTATGGTCTTGAGCACTGAAGATGTGTTTATGCCAAATTAGGCTGGCTGAGGTGTTTCTTTAGGGAAATGCATTTGTGAGGAGAGAACGGGACTGTGTTGTGGTTTGCCTTTGGAGTATGTTATGTAAAGTACTGTTCCTATGTCTGAATGCCCAGATTGGATTTGTAAGTTCAAACTACAGTTTTTTATAGTACTTATAAGTTTACTAATTTTTGTATTTATGATAACTTTAGGTGCTCACATGCTAAAAGGGTAGTTTTGAAATGTGACAATCATACTTGTTATTTTTTCTGATATATCACTTGTTTCACCTCTTCTTATGTTTCATTTGGATAACATTGATTTGCACTGTCAAGTTTTCACTGTAGTACATCCTAAATAAGAAAGTCATCATCTGAGTAAGGCATAATCACATTGCACTGTGTAAAACCATAAAAATGTACCACACTAATGCCTTTAACTAAAAAAATAACTGAATTAACGTTGTAATTCACATTGCACTGGTCTAGATTTTCTGCATTTGCTTAAGTATTTTTCAATATTTTTCTATTTTTTAAAATGAGAGTAAATTACTTGCACTTTAAAAAATCTTTACATTTAGCAAATAGAAATATTTTGATACTTTTGTTATTGGCTTACTTTGACTCTTACTTTGCAAACATTTGATATGTAGATGTTTTTCATATTACATTGGGGATTTGCATGTGATTTGTAGTTATCTTTCTGTTCACCTGAGACCAGACATCTCTGCCTGCATTTTTGTCCAAGCATATACACTTCTTTCTTTTCAAAGACAAACTTTCTTATAAAAAAGAAGATTGGACTGTACATTTGCATTGTTTACTCAGCACCCTGGGCTGGAAGACAGGAATGGGGGGCAGAAGGAAGCCCCTGTAATCCATGGTCAGTGACCTGCTACACCACTAAAGACACTAACAAGTCCATGGGGCTGGATGGGAGCCATCCAAGGGCACTGAGGGAGCTGGTAGAAGAGGTTCCTGAGCCACTTTCTGTCACTGACCAGCAGTCCTGGCAAACCAGGGAGGTCCCAGTTAACTGGAAGTTGGCAAATGTGACACACATCTACAGGAAGGGTTGGAAGGAGGATCTGGGGAACTAAAAGCCTGACCTTAGTGCTGGGGAATGTCATGGGGCAGATCATCCTGAGTGCCATCATGCAACATGTACAGGACAGTGAGGGGATCAGGCCCAGCCAGCCTGGGTTTAGGACAGGCAGGGTGGTCAGGTAGGACCACCCTGATATTCTGTGACGAGGTGACCCACCTCATGGATGAGGGAAAGGCTGTGGATGTGTCTACCTGGGCCTAAAGCCCTTCATGTGTTTTCCCACATCATTCTCCTGGACAAACTGGATGCTTATGGCATGGATGAGTGCCCTGTTCACTGGATAAAAAACTGTGTGGATGGCCCAGAGAGTGCTGGGGAATGGAGTGACATCCAGCTGGGTTCCCCCCCCAGGGGTGTGTGCCAGGACTCAGTGTTGGGGCCAGTCCTGTTTAATACCTTTTATTATTACTAATAGTTTGGGATGAGATCAAGGGCACCCTCAGTCAGTTTACTGACAACACCAAGCTAGATAGGAATGTCGATCTGCTGGAGGGCAGAAAGGCTCTGCAGAGGGATCTGGACAGGCTGGATTAATGGGATGAAGCCAGTTGTGTGAGATACAATAAGAGGAAGAGCCAAGATTTGCACTTCAGTCACAAAAACCCACAGCAGTGCTCCAGGCTGGGGGAAAAGTGTCTAGAAAGTTGCCTGTGGGAAAAGGACCTGGAGATGCTGATTGATAGCAGCTGAACATGAGCCCAGGTGTGCCCAGGTAGCCAAGAAGGCCAAAGGCACCTGGGCAGTACCAGCCATGGTGTGACCAGCAGGACCAGGGCAGTGACTGTCGCCCTATGCTGGCACATGTCAAGTGCTGGGGGCAGTTCTGGGCCCCTCAGACAAGAGCGACATTGAGGAGCTGGAGCATGTCCAGAGAAGGGATTGGAGCTGGGGATGGGGCTGGAGCACCAGGAGCAGCTGAGGGATCTGAGAGGGCTCAGCCTGGAGAAAAGGAAGCTCAGATGGGACCTTCTTCCTCTCTACAACTCCCTGACAGGAGGGTGGAGCCACATGGGGGTTGGGCTCTGCTCCTAGGGAACAAGGGACAGAACAAGAGGAAACAGCTGCAAGTTGTACCAGGGGAGGTTTAGGCTGGATATTAGGAAAAATACATTCACTGAAAGTGTTGTCAAACACAGAAACAGGTTGCCCAGGGAAGCAGTGGAGTCACCATCCCTGGAGGTATTTAAAAGCCGTGTAGATGTGGCACTTGAGGACATGGTTTAGTGTTGGGCCTGGCAGTGCTGAGTTGATGATCTTTAAGGTCCTTTCCAAACTAAACCATTCTATAATGTCAGAAGCATAGAACTATTACTAATATTTGCTAAAATCATGCTTTCGGCTGGTTGCATATTTTTTTGCTCATGATATAAAGCAGTTCTAAAGGGGATACACTTCATAGCTGAGAACTCTGACATTTTAGAGATGTTACATTGTATAGGAATATAATCTTTTCAGAGGACTCTTTTCACTGCTGTGCCAATTTTTAGAATAAATTATTTTTACAAAATTCGATTATTTGTCTTCAGAGAGTATGCTTTGAAGAATATTCTTCAGCAAGAGGGTGTAGGTTAATCTTCATGCAGGAATGCCAAGAACAGTGTGCAGAGAGATCTGATTTGAAAAGACAAAGTTCTAGTTCCAGGTACATATCTAAATTTAGAAAAGCTGTCACCAGTGCTGTGCTTAGAGAAGAGAAAAAGAAAAGAGCACCAAAGAAATTTCTTGTGCCTGTCTAGTCACATTTCCATGGTAGTGACCAAGACCACTGAACTCAGTTTGAAATCAAACTTTGTAGCAAATGTGCTGTACCTTGAAAGCTAAAATTACTATTTTCTTTAACACTGAAGAATTAAAAAACCCACAAACTCTTTGGTCAAAGTAGCAGTCATATTCCTTACATTTTGCATAGAAACTCATTGCACAGTTATAAATGCTTGGAGTATTCACTTGGTGTTTCATTTTTTGTAGCTTGATATCATGGATGTATGGACTAACTTGGTGCTGTCAACTAACTAGTTGTTAAGAAACACCAGCAAATGATGCCTGTCCATGGTTTTTAAAACTGGTGGATGTGTTTTTGAAGAGTTGTAATTGTATATACTGGATCACACAAACCATATAGAATTGGATTGTGGTATGGAAAAGATGTGAAATTCAGTCTGATAACTGGCTGCTCTTAGCCCAAATAAATGTGAAAATGTGCTTAGACTAATTCTTTATCAAGTTTACAATTTGAAAGAAAATACATGGGTTTATATTTGTTTTTTGGACTTGAAGACAACAATATTAAAAATAAAAATGTTTTCCTTGACTGAACACCTTAAAAGTAATACACACCACACTAAAAATGTATTTTGTTGTGAGACAGAATACAAGTTACACTGAAAGAAATCCTTTTATAAGCACCATGAAAACCTTTTGTGTTTTAAAGATCTCACAGGCTTCTGAAGGAGCGGTGCTCAAAAGAACTCCACACTGAATATTTACATGCAAATGTTCTGAGAATTACATTTTATAATGCAAAAAAAAAGATAAAGCAGTTGCTCAGGGTTTAACCTGAATTTTGTAGAAGAGTTAATACACTCTGTCCAGAATGTCTTAAATAAACAATACCTTCTTAGCTCAGATGGTTTTCTGTCTCTGGTAAACTTCTCTGCGTGAGAATTCTGGTAAGAATTTCTTATAACTCTTCTGGTAAACTGTGTCAGATGCATCATAACTGTATACATGAACTGGTTGGCTGTATCTAATGAAATCATTCATTAGCCTGGTAAAATTAGAAGTAGCTGCCTTGTGCCCTTCGGAAACTGCTTTTTTAGCTTAGTTCTTGGGCTGGAAGGGCCTATTCCTGATTATTCCAATTGTTGTTCTGAGTAATTTGAATACACTTCTCTGTAAAAAGAAATAACTTAAGATGTGCATTTGGAACCCAGCCAAAGTTTCTTGAGACGACAAATGCTGTTTGTTTTCCTCTTGTGTTTTTTCTCCATTTTATTAGAAAAAAAGCGGAGATAGGAGGATATCATACAGACAGTGCAACTTGATTCTTCAGTGTATTATTAGGCAAGACACAGTTGCTCAAGAATTCCAAACATCTGTCTTCTGTAGGAATCTGAATCTGCTGAGCATAAGGGCAGTGCTGAAATCTAACATCTTCCAATAATCTAGACAGTGAATGCAAGCTTTACTCAGAAAAAATACTCTTAATTTATAAGGTGAGTCCTCATTTCTAACGTCTAAGTGAAGTCTTTCAATAAGTGGCAGCAGAGAAACAGCATTTGATGCTTAGATGAGAATCAAAAATGTGTTGTAAATAGTAATTTGCATTTGTTCTGATAAAACTGCTCCATTAAGCAATCAGATGCCTTTTGTGAAATGTGTGAAATTGTTCAGCAAGGAACAGATAGCAACATGAACACTGACAGAGAAATACATTAATATTCCCAGGCAAGAACAGCCTATTATTGCACACACTGATCTGGAAGTGGGTTTTATCCAGAAGTAGAATATGATGATGAAAATATAAGGAATATATATATATATATATATATATATATATAAGGAAGATATTCTTTATGATGAGGGTGGTGAAACAGGTTCCCAGAGAGGTGGTGGATGCCCCATCTCTGGAAACACTCAAGTCAGGTTGGATGGGGCACTGAACAACCTCACCTAGTTGAAGATGTTCCTGCTTCTTGCAGGGGAGTTGGACTAGATGACCTTCGAAGGTCCCTTCCCACCCCAACTATTCTATGATTCTTTGGTTCTGTGAAAAAACAAGCTTATTCAAAGTTGTTGATGAAGCCTTCTGTCAAGGTGGTTGAGACAGCCTTTTTGACCTTGGGAGCTGATAGGGCCAGTGCCATGTAATTCTTATGAAAGGACCCTAAAACCAAGAAACTTTGTTGTCTTTGGCTGAAATGTTATCAAGCCCTGTGGCACATTTTTCTATGATAAATTAAATACAAGCTGTTCTAGTGGTAGTCATTTCAATCAGAATTACCTTTGGTTTGGTCAGATTTTCTCCTTCCCTTCAAAAGACGACCATTATCAGACAGTTGAATATCAAGGCTGTATTAGCTAGTCTTGTGGATTTTTTTTTTTTTTTTTTTTTTTTTTTTTAGCTTTTTTTGGGGCCCAATTTGAAAAAAGAAAACTGAAAGATATTTTTATCTGGAGCTTTTTGGCACATGTTCTGTTTTCTGAAACAACATCCATTTATGGTCCTGAGATGTTTAGGAATTACAGGGAAGTATTTTTGAGTGTCTTTCTGTGAAATTAGAGTATACCTTTAAGGTACTTAACAAGAAGATTATTCATCTTGCTGAGCAAGATGAAGATATGAATCTATATGGTGC